GAATTTGCCAAAATAATTTGGGTGTAAGGTGGGTTATCCCTTCCATAGAGTATCACGCCAACACATTCATATCACTCATATGGGTAGACAAATTAATATAGTTTATTTTAAATTTAAATTTAAAATTTGTGATGCCTAAAAAGAGCAAATAAATCATATTATACGTTAGGTTGACTCAATACGATTAATATAGAATATTATAATATATTTATATATATATTAGTGATGACTATAGTGGCATCCGCAGGAGGGGGCTAACTAACTGAAGTTCCCCCAATTGACCATATTGTATTACTTAAAAAAAAATAGTTATCAATTTTAAACTGTCAACTATAATAAGCAAGACATAAATTTCATATATGTCTTACCAGAATGGATTCATTTTTGAAAAACATTTGTATTTGCATACCAATTTTCCTAAATCATCTATAATTTTTCGGTAAAAGTATGAACCATACTTGTATGAAAGACCTTAGCTTATACAAAATTTAATATTTTATAAGTTTTGAAATTCAAATTAACTGTGGTTTTGAAAAAATGTGAACTTTAAATGCTTATAAAAAATAACCATGCCTGCATTATTATACTTACCCTCCCCCCCCCCGGTAATTGCGGCATTTTTTCTACCAGAAAAGTTGAAAAGTTACAAACACTTTAAAATTACTCAAATAAACGTCTGAAATCATTAGACTGGACAAAATAAAAATTACTAACTTTCAAGCCCCCTCCATTGAAAAATCCAGCTTACGCCACTGGACTGATGAGTCATATCAAATGGGCATTTCAGCATTTGAATATCATAATTTATTATAATACAAATATAGTCAATCCACAACTCATTTGTATAATTGGTTTCAATAAATATGATCGACTTATTTGTTTTTTATTTTTAAATTTATACATTAGGTAGCTATTATAATGTACCTATTATAAAATGTTTATTTACCTACGATTATGCAAGCATGCAATTTTGTTATGAAATGTTTAATCATATTGCGACTTATATTATTTATTATTATTATTAGTTATTAAATTCCTATATAGTTTAATTGTTATTTTAAATTATAATTGTCAACATTATAATATAATATAAATGTAGGTTATAAAATTTAAATTAGGTACCTACCTACTCAAATAAAATGTGAAAATGTAGAATAGCGTCTGTATAGCGTTAATGGTTATTAAACGGATAGTATTTTATATATTGCACAACAAACAATAAAAAAAAACTTGTCTATAATATGCGATGAAGGTGCGAAAATTTCGGTTACTAAGACTCATGCCTATGTCAGATGAATTTTTAATTAATTGAATAGAGGTTATTAATATGCACACACGTCGTGGTATCGCACATGCATAATATATTTCACTTATATAGCATAGGCATTTCTCAATAAAAATAATAATAATAATAAAAAAAAACATTAAAAACCTCATTAAACGTTAGGCGGTGTCTTTAAAATAACTAAAATCTTTTCAACCACACAAAAATTCATTATTATTATTATAATATATATATACCTATATCGTACATAATAAAATATAATAAATTAATCAGCAATGGACAGATGTATAGGTATTATTAATTTTTGAACAATCATTTAAATATAATATTTTTAATATTATAACAAATAAATATATTTTCGTGTTCATCTTCTCGTTTTATACGGTGTGAATGATGAGTACCTTTATAACGCGAGTTCATCGTGGTACCTATACATATTATATTATAGGTAATATTATTATGTTATTATATTACACATTATGTTTTTGACACGGTCGCGTATGTGATAAAAAAAAATGCCACGTTGTCGACTCATAGGTATAATATAATAATATGTAATATTATATTATATATTGGGTACCTACTTACAGGTAAAAATATTATATATATTTTATAAATAATCAAAAATCCACGGTTGTCGAGGATTCTAGTATTTTGGTTTTTTTTTTGACGTAACGTCCGGGCCACAATACGCTTATATATATATATATATATATACCTATACATATATTATTATTATAATAGGCAACGTCGTATAGTAATGTCACGGTGTTCTCAATACACCACGTACCGTCAGCAACGGCCGTCCATTCACCATTGTTGTTCACGCGTTTTCCCGACGTACGACAGTATTATTATTATTATTATGTATACACGTATACACGTATTTCGTATTTTATTATTTTTTCATCCTCTTCCTCTCCGCCGTTCCCGGCCGATTTCTTTTCTGAAACTCGGACACAACAACCGCTCGGCTATACGGCCATAACAATATCATATACATAACATACAGAGTGATTCTTTTATCATAAACCAGTCGATTTCCCGGTAAGCTTATGGTTTATGAAAACATTTCTAGTCATTATAGATCATATTTGTATACGGTTATGTATAAGAGTAGTATACTTGTGAGTTTACTTTATACATTATTATATTTATAAAATGTTCACTTTTTAAATAATAACATTAATTTTAAATTTCATATACTCCGAAACAGAACATTTTACTGAAGATTTCCATGAACCTACGTATTAAAATTAAAATTAAATTAAGCTTTTAAAGTTTGGGCGATGAGCGCCGAGCGGAATAGCGCAACAACGGATGGCGGGGTTATCTCTGCAGCCGTGCTAATAAAGTGCTATCCTGTCATACACTCCTGTCCTCTCACTTGCAAGTTGCAATATACATATTAAATGTATTACTATTGTCTATTTATTACTTTTTTATAGTTCGACAATATTTGACTTTTACGCATCAAAATTACATCGGTAAGAATTATATTTATTTTACGAAATAAATATTGTTGTAACGACATCAAATTATAATGTATGGGTATTATAACTTTGATATCAATCCACCTTGATTGCGAAGAAAAGTTTTCGAATACTTAAAACGGCGAATTTGCCATGGAAAATTAGTGGTCCGTGCGATAAACAAGAATCGGCGTCCTGACCGCCCTGTAGGTACACATCGCATACCTACTATACACCTACCTACACATAATAATATAATATTAAATATTGTACGTTTCAGGTCGTATATAATAATATATTATATAGGGGTAAGATGAGAACGTGTATTGTGCCGTACAGACGAAAAGATGAAAAAAAAATGTATACCTATCAAATATTATTTTATATAGGTACCGAACAATGAATAATAATATTGGTATATACGCTTGTACGTGCGGTGTAATAATACGGAACGGCGGCGGCGGCGGGACAGGGGCACAGGGGGTTGGCAGCCGCACACAGAAGGAATCCCACGAGCCGACGACACCAAGTCTGGGACGAAACGCGCGCGCCTCGCCGTGTGTCGTACACGCACGGCAAAACGGCCGCCGCCATACGTACCGTCGTCCACCCGCCCGCGCGCCATCCCGCACACCCGCATTCCCAGGTCCGGGTTCTACCATCCGCCCGCCCGGGCGCGTTGACGGCTTTCGCAGCCAAGGCGGCTGCGATGCCCGTTATACACGACCGGTCGCGCCGATTGGTCCGACCGCATTCCCTTCTGCCACCGCCGCCGCCGCCACAGCCGCCGCGCGACCGTATCTCGTTGCCGGCCGCCGCAGTGAGTCTACCGATCGCTGAGACCGCGTTACGACAATAATATAATATTATATATATATATTTTTTTTTTTTCGACGTTCTCGTTGTTTACACGCACTACGCACGCACACACCTCTGCGCTGATAGCGGCCGACGCTGTTTGCGCGCGACCACCACCAATCGTTTATATTATTCTATCGTTGTCGTGTACCTCAGTAGTAGTTGTTGTCGGTACCTGCGATATTGTGTGCTGCATTCCTCCTGTGGACGATAATATTACGTCAATAATCTTCGTCGTCGTCGTCATCGCCGCCGCCGTCCGTATCATAATAATATTATTAATTTTGCAAGCGCCGCGGCCGTTTACGAATCGATCGGCCTCCGCAGCCGCCGGAATTGATGCTGCCCGTCATCCGAGTGCGATCGTCGCGTCCCCTCTGTCGTCGTCGTCCTACCGTGCACCACCGTCCTCTGTAAATGGTAATGTTCGCGAAACGTCGCAATCGATTTGCTATCATCATATTAATACCTATCATTACCTACGTATTACTTGTTATTATATTATATAGATGTGTCAATAGTCAATGTGTGCAAGTAGGTGCATATTAATAATATAATATATTATCAGGTCATAGACATATTGGTAAATAATAATATTAATAATATGTCTATGTATTAGGTATCTATTTTATATCTATTGCTGTTTTATTAATTGTTGTGCGTATCTCTGCTGTTCTCCCTCGAACTTCCCGATTTTTTTTTGTTATTCTCAGATAATAATATTAAGGGAATTAGATACCGTGATTTTCTGTCTTCGTCTGACATAGGATTTTAGACGTGTTCTTTGTAAAACATACCAATTGATCTAATGAAGCGATAAGAATTCTGAAAACAAATTTGGATTTGTCGTCAAGTCTACTCAAAATGGACTTTTCCATATTCTTGATTTTGTGATCTAAATTTTTATAAAAATTGAACTATTACAATTTTTTAATTACTCTTTTCCAATATAACGTTTTTAGGAATATGGGGGATAATATCAAAAATGTGTGAAAGTCGATTTCACATAGACTTGACGATAAATTCAAATCTGCTTTAATAATTCTTATCGCTTCATTATACGGAATCCCCTTAATGTAATATAATTATTAACCATTTTGGTGTCATTGTATCATAATAATATTGTCCACATTCGTTTGTATTATCGTCCGACTATGTCGTTGACCGGGCATAGATATGCGCCACGATTAATCGCAGTTGCTGGCATTACTCTGACGGTCTTTATCGTTCAGTAATCTGTCATAGTCTATCTACCTACTGTACCTACTATACTTTACTTTAATTAAAATATATTTTCTCAATCAGTCATGTATTTTGTTTTTACAGTTTCGCAATGAAGACATGGTGACGTAGCTGGTCGTTTGTGTTCAATACACTCTTGGAGAATGCTTGTTTCAAACCTCATTCATCGTGTTTGGATAATATGGGTCACTGTTATTGCAGGTAAAAGTTTTGAAAACTTTGACACTTATTATTGTTATTTGTTAGGCGATTAAATGTTTAGTAATTTTAACAAAACACTGTGTTTAACCTTTAACGTATCACCTTTTCCTTATTATTTATCAAGTACCAATAACTTGTAAGTTGTCCTAAGTATGACCAATTATTAAATTAATATTTCTGTTGGGTCAGTTCAAATTTTAGTTATTTACTTATCAAACTAATAAACTGATAAAAATATTATGATTCCCCCTGCCAATACAGCTACGAGAGTATAAATTAGTATTTGTTTATGTCGAGGTTTATGTTTACATACACACGGCGTAGCCGAGTATAATTGTTAACCAGTGATTTGTTTATATTGTATTTTCTTGTGTTTTACATAGTGTAGTACCTATAAATTATTTCATGTTAGTCGTAATAATAATAATATATAATAATTGGTACTGTTTCATTGACATTCGTATTTAAAGCAATTTGAAGCAGATAGGTATCTACTTCCTACTTAAAAAAACATTAAATGAAATAAACTTGATAAATTATTCTTGAAAGTTAGTGTAGGTACTAAATACTGGTTTATAAATAAAATTTAAATGAAGCAGATTAACATACGTATTTCATGTTGTCTATTTTAATTTAATTATCAGTTTTTATGTTTGTTTGTTTCATCAAGATCAAATGAGTAATATAAACTTTTTTCAGTGTGCACCTGTGTTCCTGTACCATGTCCTCAAGATACATGTACAATGTCTGACGTTAAGGACAATCAATGTAGAGATTTAGATGCATACCTTAAGTGTATGAAATCATTATCGAAAAAATGTCGTGGCGACATTGGGTATCATTCAGCTATTACAGTATCAAATTCAGAGTTCAAAAAGAAATGCCTCGGTCATGAAGATTTCTCCAGAAATAATAGTGGTGAAAATTCCCAAATAGTTCCATCTACTCACAATGCTTGCCCAATGCTATTTGATGATAAAAAAGAACACCGGTTTTGTGGGTTGTTTGGTGATCCTCACTTGAGGACATTCGATGGCAAATATCAAACTTGCCGGATTCATGGAGCTTGGCAAGTGATTGACAATCCATTTTTCAGTATCATGGTAACCAATGACGCAGTTCTAAATAGCACAACAGCCACAGCTCCAACTAAGGTATTTAATTCATTTTTTTTTTTTTTATGTTAATAGAAAAATATATTTAATCATAATTTTTTTGAATTTTTAGTTGACAGTCATGTTAAAAGCACATAAACCTGAGTGTACTCTGTACAAATTGTTTGAAGCACAAGGAGATCTTCAGTTACCGGATAAATTTGAAGATAGTACCACTTCATCTGGACCAGCTTCATCGCCAACTGTTTCTCTTTCCTGGCGTTCCAATGACCCCAACAGTGAGACAGTAATCATACGATTATCGTATATTTCTACAATTATAACTGTGACCCGGGTTGGCAAATATCTGTCCATTTCTGCTAAATTGCCAGACCAGTTAGCGCAAGTATTTGATCAAGACAAGAATGTATTGTGTTCTTCTGGTTGTCCAACTTCTGAACAAATAGATATAAAACAAGTTACAATAAGTGAATTAGATCGCGGTTTGACTTTATGTCACAACAGTATTGGACCCACCGGGCACAAACTAACTGATCAGTATTTAGATTGGTGTGTGTTTGATATGATGACTTCTCACGATGAACAGTTCATCAATGCTTCACATGCAGCGTACTCTGATGTATTGTTTTTCGAACCACGCTCATTATTTAATAGGACGGTTAGTGTATTTGAGTTTAACCCCGTTTCAACGGCCGGTGCCATTTGTATACATAGATTAAACTTATTTATTCTCACTATCATTGCATTGTACAACTTTCTTTGAGTGTTCCTAATATTGTAGTTTAAGAAGACACCATACCTTAATTTATTGTCTCTACCTTACACACGTCCAAGATCACTATATTCTATGTATAATATCTCCTCTACAAATGCTACTATACTTGAGTTTAAACTATGCGTGTGTAACATAAGGCAATGAATGCTAGGCCTTTTAAGTATTTAGCATATTTTTTCTGATAATATAGTTTTATTTTTAATAGAAAACTTAAGTTTTCCTGCCACTATTTATTCAACAAATTGATAAACTTGTTAATCTCAATTCTATCGTATATTAAAAACCCAATAACTTAATTTATATTGCTATGAATCTACATTCTTATATTTTTACACTTTGATACTTTTTAATTTATTGACTTTTATTTCAACCAAAAAGTGTAAACAAATGTAATAATGAACAAACACGAATGTCCATGATATTTTTTTACTTAAATTATTTTAACATACTAAACAATGTAATTTAGATTTTGGCTATTTTTGATTAAATAAGTTATTTTATATAACTTAATAATATTAGTTTATTGCAACCGGAATATTATCTCTTGAATGTATATACAGTAGTTAATTTTGAAACATAAGAGTTTAATGTGTTGCAATAATATTATCTGGAGTAAAAAATATGTAATATAATTGCTGTTTTTGGTAATACATTGGTAGGCTATGCTAGCCAATTGTGTATTTGAAAAAAACGTTACCATCTATTATTGTATAAATCAGTGTAAAAAAAAACAAATAATATAGGTATCATTAAGTAGATTTTATTTAGTACAGTATGTCTGATCCTAGTCCGAATTTTGTGATTTTATTTATATTATGTAATTTTAAGGATTTTTTTATATGTTAAAATTAATTATGCATAGATATTTTTTTTTATATAAACACGATTTTGTGTGATAATTTATAATATGAAGTCGAATATGAAGTATTAGTTGGTGATTTGGTTAAGCCAATAGTGTCAATTAATTTTTTATGTTCTCATATACTTTTGTAGTTATATACATTAATACTGAATATATTATTCTATACTTTTATAAATCTCTATTAAATCTAATAGGCAAATGTATATTATATACTTATACATTTTACCCTTAGTATCTAACCAAATAAAATATTATTATTTTTCCAAATATGTTGTGTTTATGAATGTTTTCAATAATATTATTGTGTATTATGCATAAAGTATTATTATTATTATGAACCTTTTACATAAAAATATAAATAATACACAAATACTGCCAAATATGTTTAGGTAGTTATTTAATATTTTGTAAGCTATCATTAAGATTTAAGATTATTTAGATAATCTTTACATTTGTAATTAGTAATTACCGAATAAACCTTGAACAAATTACCTAACAAAAAAAAATTATTTATACCTGCATTTTTTTTGTCATTTAGTACAACATTGAAGTATTAATAATATAAAAATTGAAGTTGGTTGAAAAATGTTCTATCTTATTTTTCTATTTTACAAAAATAATAGCTTTAATTCAAAACATGACATGGTGCCTGAATAGTCAGTATCAATGTTTGTTTTATTGTAATGACCAATTAATTAAATAATAACATTGATTATAAATTATAAACAATAATTGTAAAAAAAATTAAGGCACTCACAAAAAGCATTTGAGGAACCCTCAACTTTTTTTTTCTTCCAGTAATAAAAATTTATGATGCACTTTGTATTAAATTTATTGTATGTTGTATTATTGTAATTTATTTATGTTTTTGACAAAGCGAATAGTTTTTTATCAACAATTATTGAAAAAACAACAAAAAAAATTCAAATATTTAAAATGTCTAAAGATCTCAAAAAGAGTTAAAATATTTTGAAAATTATTTCATGTATAGAAATTGTTAATATAAACATATCTTGGTGAACAGTTCAAGATAATATATGGTTATTGGTTTTTTAATTTCAACAAAATAAGAGAATATATTTTCTTGAAAACTTGGTTACCTACTAATTAAAATTATTAAGAAAAGTACAGAGAATTTGTTACTTTTTGACACCACAAACTACCAACCAGAAAATATATTAAAGTTGGAAATCTTGGGATTTTTACTGCTCCAAAATATGACGACAGACCCAAAAATAAACTACCTGTACCTCATAAAAATTATTAGTGATTAAACTTATTTAATATCGGTGTTGAATTAAAATAATAATATTCAAAAGAAGACATTTAATTTAATTTTTGGTTAAATTATTTTTGTCCATATATTTAAAATAGATACTATTTTTAGTATTAAATCTTCATTAATTGTATGATTGAAACGCTAACATTTATTTTACCATATGCATTTACGACAATGGACTGGGAATAACATTGGCCCCGGGTAAATAGAAAATTCGGCCCAATTTTGGAATAATAATAAAATATTTATGTCACTCAAGCAGCCCAAATTTTCTCCAGGCCCAGGCGGGGATCGCCCATATGGGTAGAATTATATGGAAATCTACGATTACTTTTGAGACAAAAATGTAAACATAAACGTTTCTATGTACAGTGAAACCTCGATACCTAACTCGAATGTCTATAAGTCGAATTTTCGATAACTAGAAGCAATATCTTCGCCCCTGCATTTCAATAAGTATACACAATTTTTCTATAACTCAAATTTTTTTTCACTCCCAACGGCCCCAACTGATTTGAGTTGTTGAGGTTTCACTGTATACGCAAAGAGCAAAGGCAAACAACGACTAAAAATAGAAAAATTGAGTGCTCACACAGTCACACATAAGATCGAATGGCATTATTTTGACATACAAAATTAACTAAATTACAAAACGTTTATAACAATTACAAAAAAATATAATGATTATTATAATTATTATTATAATAGGTACCTACCTACACAATACAATAATCATTAATAACAGGCATATTATATTCTATGATTACGTATGAGTATAGAATAAGACAAGTATAATTAGTAAAAGTATATTTGGCTGGAATGCTTTGGCAAACTAAACAAAATTAAGAAAGTCATGAATTGTTAGTAACACGTTAAATGGACATTATTTATACTAGGTAGGTACCAAAAAAAGGGTGTAGGAATGGCACGCAACTTAAAATCATTTGTATGAACTCAAATCGACTGATTTTACTCGAATTTTTTCTTTTAATAAAATATATAGAAGTATATAGAATATAATATAGAAGTAATTAAGTTTATAAAAAAGCAAAAAATTGCCAACGGCACGCAGTGTTCCCAAGCGGTCACCCATCCAAGTACTAACTACGCCCGACGTTGCTTAACTTCAGTGATCGGACGAGAACTGGTGTATTCAACGTGGTATGGTCGTTGGCGATGTACTGCTGAAAAATTACAAAATTTAAGTAAAATACCTAACAAAAAATGTTATTCATCGTTACACTAATGACAATACCACGTATCTACATTTTACCAATTGTTCAGGAGAGTGAAAAAACTGAATAAATACACAGATACAGATACAATTTGGATACGTGTTATCAATTAAATCCAATTTGGAGGGAAAATAATTTTTTTTTAGGTTATTGTATCAGAAAATAATTTTGTGCGCAAGGAGATTACAAATATTTTGATACCAAAAACTCATTTTGTGTAAAATGTCAGATACGTGGTATTGTCATTAGTGTAACGTCATGTTTTTACGTGTGTGAAGTTGGGGGACTATAGCTAGGGGACTATTTTCTCGGACGACTAGTGATAACAGGCCTTGTATGCCCGGTTGCGTATTATTATATTCAAGGCACCCGTCATTTGTATTACCGTCAACCACAAGATGGCGCCATCAAATTCACCTACATCATTATGTGCCCGTATATTAGTGCGACCGAACAGCCCAGGGGACTATTTTTTCGTACTGCCTAGGTACGATCGGGCGTGCGGTTTTTAATTTTTTTGACCAAGTTCCGGAAGGTGGCGCCGCATTAAACCTATATATTCGGAAAGCCAGGAAAATTCTCTATAAGACGTTTATACTTTGAAAATGTTCAAAGCTTTCGGGGACATAGTAATAAGCGACCGAACAGCCCAGGGGACTATTTTTTCGTGTTGCCTAGGTACGATCGGGCGTGCGGTTTTTAATTGTTTTGACCAAGTTCCGGAAGGTGGCGCCGCATTAAACCTATATATTCGGAAAGCCAGGAAAATTCTCTATAAGACGTTTATACTTTGAAAATGTTCAAAGCTTTCGGGGACATAGTAATAAGCGACCGAACAGCCCAGGGGACTATTTTTTCGTACTGCCGGGTGCAAGTACCTATGCGCCGTTTTTAATTTTTTTGACCAAGTTCCGGAAGGTGGCGCCGCATTAAACCTATATATTCGGAAAGCCAGGAAAATTCTCTATAAGACGTTTATACTTTAAAAATGTTCAAAGCTTTCGGGGACATAGTAATAAGCGACCGAACAGCCCAGGGGACTATTTTTTCGTACTGCCGGGTGCAGTACATACTTCTGGGAAACTGGCTGTTAAAGAATGATTTTTCACCATTAAAAGTTGAGCAAGATCTCTAGTTGAATTAAGTTGACTTATTTGATTTTTAAGAGTTGATCTTACAGCTAAAATTTCACTTGTAAATGTTTTTGATATGTCTTTATCATATTTGTTTACCAACTTCGTAGCTTCATTTAAAAGCTCTAAATCTGTTGCTGACGTAAGAAAAGATGGTTGTAAACATGTGAAATTTAGCATTAATTCATGAAAACTTGAAAAACGTTTACTTATTTAATTTATTAATATATCCAACGTTCTATTAAAAATAGTTACACGAAATAAGCTTTCTGGACAAGTTAAACGCATATCAGTACATAGTTCATCGAAATATCTTTTTACAACTTTACGACGTTTGTTTTGAAACTCTGTAGAGATAGACCAACTTTTAGCAACTATATTTGCTTCTTCCAACAGATCATTAAAATTACATCTATATTCTTTTAATTGTTCATAACAGTTTTTTAATAAATTGGATGCATTATCTAAATCAACTGACT